GGTTTAGGGTTTAAGTTTTTGGGTTTGAGCGGTCCTTCAAAGGCTCCTTTAAAAGGTCCCTAGAAGGGTTACTATAAGCATCGCTATATGGGCGACTTTCTAAGGGCTCTATGGTCTAAGGCTCTGGGTGCTGACCTGAGGTTTGAGGCTTTAAAACTTTAGGTTTGAGGGTTGAGTTCGAGGTCTCCTTTCGGGATAAAGGGTTACCACGATGATTGCTGTAAGGGTTCTGTGGTCCAAGGGCCTAAATGTCTCCTTTTGAAGGTCTCCTCTGAAGGCTCCTCGAAGAAATTCTTCAAGGGGTCTTTAATTAGAGGAGCACTCAGCGGAACCGGATAACCCCAAACACTAAGACCTAAGCTCTACGCCCCCAGTCCTAAACCCGGGTTTATAGTGTTTATAGGGGTAAGGGTTTAAGACTCTTTAAAAGGCCTTAAACCGTGCACCTTGGCCAATCCCAAAATTCTGAATCCTAGCGCGAACACTGAATCGAAACCGTCTCAGACGTGGGGCTTTCTCCAAAGGCCCCTCCAAGTGACACCTGCGGTTGGAAACGAGGAGGTGTTGAAGTTCTGACAGTCTTGTTAGTTAATGCAGGGGGCCTAACTCATTTTCCAACCATTTGTGGGGTTCCTTACTATAGTGATAATTAGTATAATAATGCACTAGTACACCCCAAAACCCTCTTCCAATCATTAAAGTGCCCCTATGTTATTTTCTTGTGTTTCACACGTTTTCACGAATGCGCAGCTGATGGGTTCTCGCTTCGGAAGGTGTTGGGGTTTGGGGGCTAGGGTTTAGGGTTTTAGGGTTTAGGGTGTTTTGTGGTTGCTGCTCTTTGGGATGGTGGGGCTTCTGGGCTCGACATTTAAACAGAACTGAGCAGAAGTCATTCCGTAGATATGTCGGCAGAGAGATCGATATAGATATAGACACAGATATAAACGTAGATACGGATATAGATACAGATGCCGATATAGATGCATCGTGATACAGATATTGATATGTATATGTGCAGACAGATAGATAGATAGATAGATAGATAGATAGATAGATAGACAGACACCTTCATTGATAATTGCTAATGGGGAAATATATTGCACTTTTTGTGTTAGTACTGCATTCTTTTGAATCTTTTTGAATCGCAAAAAAAAGGAAGGCAGAAAAGCGCACCTCTGAACAAGCCAGTTGAGCTGATTTTAAGGATTCGTCGGATTCCGGTTCCCGAACCTGGCCATGTGTTCACGCAGGTATGAGACGTGGCTCAATCTGTAGGGTTTCGGGTTTAGAAGCAGGTTACTGATTCCGTTCCGCCTCTTTGCGCGTTCCAACGCACAAATTCGAAACCGGGAAGGGGTTCGAAGCTCAAACAAAACACAAGTGGCAGACCTGAGATAGCTCGAACCCCTCAACTCTACGTAAACCGCCCCGCCAACAAACTATTCCTTCCAAAAGATATATGTATATATATATATATACACACAAATATATAATACAAACATTTAATGGATTGTTCTAATATATATATATATATAAACATTTAATAGCCCGGCCGCCTTAGGCGGTCCCCCTGAAGCGTCCACAGCGAGGCTCTAGCAGTGCCAGCGGCGCTATCGAGGGCCTCAGTCGGGAAAGACACGCAGTCAGGGTTTAGGGTTTAGGGTTGTCGAACAAGAGGACCCAGTTGTGAACAAAGATGCGTGTTCACAGCTGCAACGGCAGCCGGAGCAGCCTCTGTAGTAGTAACAGCGATGCTGAAGCGCAACGTAATGCTGCGAACTGCCGAGCTTTTTCTGCTCAAGACCCAGACCCTGATTCCCCGAAAGGGTTTCAATACCAATCAATATATTGTAACTCTTAAATCTGTTGGCCGCAAAGCTTCAATCAATGTTTGTACAGGCTTACTTTAAACCACTTGAACCCTATATGCTCCAGCAGCCGAATTATGGAATCTTGAACACAAAGGTCCTAGAGTTGATCATTTTACATTAGTCCGGTTTCCCAGGAGAACTAAAAGTAAACCTGTTGGATGATTTTAAGGGTTAGGTACTCCTTAAAGTTTACCGGTTTCTCTACTACTACCCAGAACCCTAAACCCAAAGCCTAAAACCCTAAACCCTAAACCCTAAACCCAAAGCAAGAACCCTAAACTTCCTAGGGGGGGTAAGAGGCCGTCTCATCACAGGCAACGAAGATGGCTTCGGAGATCACCTGAGCGCTCGTGAAAGCTCTTAGGTCGACCGTTCATTCGTAAACGCGTCGGAAACTAAGGCCTAAACCTTAACCCCTAAACCCTAAACCCTGAACGCTAAACCTTAAACCCTAAGCCCTCAACCCTAAGCCCTAAAACCTGAACCCTACACCCTAAAACCGAAACCCTAACCGCTGACTTCAACACCTGGAGGTTTCAGGGGACAGCCGAGCCCGGGTTCTCCTAACTCTGCGTACCAAGCTACTTGTAATTATACCGGGGCTTTGGGGGCTTTGGGTTTAGGGGTTTAAGGGGGTTAGGGGTTTAGGGGTGTAGGGTTTTGGGGGTTTAGGGTTTAGGGCTTGCCAGAAAGTTGGAACATCAGTTCCCTCAGGCCCTTAAGGTCAAGGTCTAGGGGATCCCAGCACGAACCATCCTAAATCCATGTTCCAACTTTCTGGGGTTCACTGTACTGAGTCCCCTGTTGATTGAAGTCAGGCTGTTTTCTTGAAGCTTTCAACAAAAAACCGGCATTTTGTTCAGAATTTCAACGTCGGTTGCTCTGCTCAAAACCTATCAGCTAAGGGACATACAAGATGTCTGGGTTTCCGAGCTATGAGGCTTCGAAAACTCTGCTCCGCAGTGAGCCAGCAGCCCTACACAACTTGATGCTCCGAGAATCTCCTAGACGCAAGTGCATGATGCACAAACCGAAATCGTCTGCGTGCGACACGGGTTGAGTGTAGGTTTTGCAAGCTCCAAAATACTTACGAAGTTCTTGCCTGGCAAGGCATTCAGATGCTTACCATTTTCGCACGGATCACCCCCCAGTCGGTCCAGATTAACTGCCAGAATCCCAAAAGGGATTGTGGCTGCGAGGTTGAGAGCTTTAAGGAAGGAGTTCACGCGAAATTGCGAAAAAAGTGGAAATTTGTTATGTATTCCTCATTTGGGATTCAGGAAAGACTGTTGTGGCGCCACAACAGAGCCCTCCCATGGATGACACCAGCGCGTGGCCATGGAAGCAAACCAAATTAGGACAGATTCTTGAAGAGCACTCTTCAGATAAATCCTTTCCAACTCCAAGGTCTGCAACCCTCAAAACTTAGCCACTCCTCGCAGACGTGCTCCTATTAGCCGTGCCCCCCAAACCTTTTTTCTTGCACCCGCGATAAATCACGAGACCCTCTAAACCCTGAGCCTGTCAATCCTAAACCCTCTAGACTCTAGAAGCAAACACTACAGTCCTAAAGCTTAAACCTAAACCCTTAAACCCAATCCCAAAACCCGAAACCGCCACACCCTCAACCCTAAATCCTTCAACCCTACACAGTCCTAAACCCGTAACACCTCAACCCCAAACCCCCCTTTGTGAATTTATTGCGAAGTGAATCCGAACGACATAATTTCGTAGCCTTGACAGTGGCGCTTGACAAATTAAAAGTCGACAGAACAGAAAAAATGTGATGGTGTAGGGTTTAGGGTTTAGGGTTTAGGACCTGGCTACCCCGTGGCAACACGAAAGTTTGGCAATGCATGGCAAGACGAAGACGTGATGCCGAACACGAGCCTCAAATGCGCTCCGACCGCATAACAGACAACCGACGAAGCAATAGCCGTTACACAATGAGGCTCCGCTTTCTAGGAAGGGTGCCACAGGAGCAAAACGGCTTTAGAAGCCTCGAACCCGGACCGCCTGAGAAATCCACCTTCTGGTTGTGTTGCTCAGTTGCGCAAGCAGGTTGCCTAACATGTTGTGTAAACATAGTCTGCCCAAGAGCATCGGTGCTGTGCTCAGGCATGCTAGACTGGCCCTTACATGTCTACATCCTGAACCCCCGAAGATGAAACCCTACAGTCGCAACTCCTGAACCCATAAAGCTTAAACCCTACACCCCTAAGTATGAAACTGCTAGAACTCAGACCCTACACCCCTACATCCCAAAACCCCTGGAGCTTAAACCAATCCGAAGCCCCTAGACCTTACACCCGGACACCCAAATCCTAAACTCCTAAACCCTAAAGCTTAAACCCCGATGCCCTGAAAGCTGTCGAGGAGCACATCCGCCCTGGATGCCGCTCAGCTGAGTGGCGAGAGCAGCGCGGAGGGTCTTGGGGGGTGCTTTGGGCTTTAGGCTTCAGGGTCTAGGGTTTAGGCACGGTTTCAGGATATAGTTGAGGGGTGTAGGGTTTAGGGCATTTCGAAGACAGAAAACAACACACAAAAAAGGAACAAGGCATAAACAGGGGTGTTGGGTCGATGTGGGAGGTTCGGGTTTAGGGTATAGGCTTGTGGGTGTACGGTCTAGGGTTTGTAGCTTTTCGGATTCAGGCCTGGATATAGCGTTTCCGCTTGAGGATGGCTTGCTTGCTGTGGGTGTGCTTTCAGCCAAGGTTGGAGTTCAGGCCTTGTTACAAAGGGTTTAAGCTTAGGGTTTAGGGTTTGGGGTTTGGGGTTTCGGGTTTGGGGTTTAGGGCTTGGGGTTTAGGGTTTGGGGTTTAGGGTTTGGGGTTTGGGGCTTCGGGTTTGGGGTTGTGGGGTTTGGCTTGTTTTGGGTGTTTCTTAGGAGGGCCTTGGAGGCCGGTTTTGCATTTGAGATGTGGGGCTTCGGGTTTAGGGTTTCGGGCTTACGGGCTCAAGCGACCGTGAAGTTTCGATTCCGGAACCTTAAGCCGTTGATCTTTCAGTCTGGAACTCCAGCACCGCAAATCTGTTGTACAGCTTGAACCACATCTGTCTCATTCTCGTGCCTACGGGCTTCCAAAGGATCCTGTAAAGAAAGCAGCAGTTAACCAGAAAGGAACTGTTAGTATAGTTGAAAGGGTCGACGTACTTTGTTGCTTGAGTATATAAGCAAGCCCTTAAAGCCGGCTCCTCAGCGTCGCCGCCGCCAAGTGTGGCAGCACCGCCTCCGGAGGAGCCCAAAAGCCTTGCTGAAACGCAATCGCTTCGAAAGGGCTGTTGTGACATGCTTATTGTTACGAGATCTTGTTTTTGTAAGGGCTGTAGAAGTTGCTTCAGGCTTTATAGGGGCCACACGGCTTTATCATCATAGGGCATCTGTAAAGGTCTTGAGGAACTGGGTTTTAAGGTACCAGAAACAAGGGATGCATTGGCAAATGTGCCGTCCTCATGAAGCTACAAGAGCCTCGATTGCTGGGCTTTCCGGCTTCGGCTTTACATCACAGGGTTTAGTTTAAGGCTAACGGCTTCAGGTTGAAATTTGAGGTTTAGGGCTTTGGCTTGGGGGTTTATGGAGCGAGACTCCAAAAACCCTCAGAGCGGTACTGATTGTAACCGCTTCAGCCAGCAATAGTTGTTGTAGAAGTGGTAGTAGTAATCGTCGTCGTCGTCGTCGTCGTCGTCGTCGTCGTCGTCGTCGTCACTGCTGTCTTCGTCGTCAGTGTCATCGTCGTCGTCGACATCGTCGTCGTCCTGGAAAGGATGATGTTGGTAGCAGCGATAACTCGTATGAAGGTCCAAAACCAAATCTTCCTTAGAGTTCCATAGTATACCTCAGCATAACATGAACCAACCCTTTCACTAGTTGTGAAGGAAGCCTGAAAATACCAGGCTTCCGCGTGATGCAGATTCTTCCGGCATGAGGTTTTGCGGCCCATGACTACAATGAGGAATAAGGAACACCAAAATATTGTATTGCTAATTCTTTAGGCTACCTATAATCGAGAACCCTAAACCCTACACCACAAAGAACCCTGAAGCCCAAACCCTAAACCGTACACCATAAAGAACCCTAAAGCCCAAATCCTAAACCCTAAAGAACCCCAAACAACCCTCAGCAACCCCAAGAAACCCTAAAGAACCCCAAGGAATGGTCGTGGTAGTTACTTGGGCCCATCTAGTACTCTGCCTCGGGCTTGGGATTCGGTCGTTTGGCCCGGAAAATGTAGGGTTCCTCGGCCCTGTCTTAGGGTTTAGGGCTTAGGGTTTTGGGGTTTTGGGGTTAAGCTAGGCCCTGGAAAGGGCCTCAGCGCCTTCATAAGTAGCACAGGGTTCAGGGTTTAGGGTTTTTGAAGTTCAGGATCCTCCTTGAAGGGTTCTTTTGAAGGTTCCTTCACTGAGTCGCTATGCGGGTGACCATAGGGGCTCATATGCTTTCGCACGGGGTTCCGGGGTTTCTTGTAGTACCATGTTTAAGGAACCGTCCCTGTACCATGCACCCGTTCTGCTTCTGCTGTGTTGGATCCAGCACCACCAATACTGTGACGGTGGGAGATTATCGGTGTGATGGCTTTGCTGAAACGTTTTTTTCCGTCTAGTGGCACTCCTACATCCTAAACCCTAAACCCCATACAATACCTCTTGAACTAGATATAGACCTCAACTCTAGAGTCCTTCCGCGACGAGAAAATCCTCGAGCCAAGCCGCACGACGCGACGGGTGCTTTGAAGCGAGGCGGCCATAGCTCTCCAGGCACGCCCTAATTTGGGGTCCTATACTACCCTTTGTGGGAACCTCTTCAGGGATCTACTCGTTGGGTCCTCGCAGGGGTCCGTGTTGTATCAAAGCAAGTTTTGGGTCGGCAAAAATGGAGATCCAAATCTCAACAGTGCGTGCCGTTTACCCGGTCCTAGATCCTAAACCGTAAACGCTAAGCCCTAAACCGTAAACCCTAAACCAGGGTGGTTGATGGTTTGGGTGTAGGGGTTGGAAGTAGTGGCCTGGGTTCATCATAGCAGGCTCTAGAGAGCACTGCTTTGGTGCAGAGCCAACAAGCCGCGAAGCACATGCCCTCCGTGGCTGTCTCTATGGAGCCTAAACCCCTAAACCCTAAAACCCTAAAGCCCTAAACAGACCATTGAGGTTACAAGGAGCTAGGGTTTAGGGTTTAGGTATACTATGGTTCCTGACAGACTCTTTACTCTCCAGCACTTGAGACTAGACCCATTGAAACAAACTAATATACGGGCCTTAATCATTACCGTATTCTAATGATTAGGGCCCCTACATGACAGCGCGCTCCAGAAGCAGTTTCAAGCTTGAGAGGAGAGACTTCCTGCACCGGATCAAGACCCGCCCCAGAAGATCGGTCATCTACAAATCGCTTAGAGTTTAGGGCCACGGTTTGCTGGACAGGGCCCGTCCTTTCGAGGGCTACGCAGCATCTGTCCCGGCCTTTCAGGGCCCCTTCCAGGGTCCACTTGGTTTAAAGGGTTCCAGGCTGTTTAGCGTTCAGGGGCTCCAAACCCCAAACACTGCCTCAAAGTGTGCTCGCAGAGGGCGAAGAGCAAGCTGAAGACGAGCACCTGACCACAAAACAAAAGCCCGACAGGATCCTGGGAACGAGAAAATCCCACACAGCACACAGCACACACACACATACAAATTCTCATGGAGACGCCTTTTCATGGATGCCTTGTTGCTGTGCCGCTGTTTACAACAATGAACGTGATGACAGCTCACGCGGGTTCACTTCACCCATCCTGTGGGTGGGGTGTAAAATGAAGTTGAAAACAGGTGCGGCACAGCGTTGCTCAGCGTGCGGCATCGAAGTCCCAGCCACCCGGGAGTGTCGGGCTGGTAGGCACACTGCTGCCGGTCAGCTCGACCACTTGCCATCGCTCCCAAGTCCAACTATCAGGAATGCCATGTGGTGACATTGGTGCACTGCCGACGGCACCTCCCTGCGGTGTTGCGGTCAGGAAGCGGTTGTTTTGAGGGTTGTGCAAGCCAATGAGGCCATTGCCGAGGGGCACCACGGCGAACCTTTCCCAGGTCCATTCGGCTGGGAGCTGATCGGCGTGCCTGTGCTCCGTCGAGTAGGCCAGGCCGGTAGGTGTCAGTCCCACGAACCGCGCCCACTTCGCGCCTTGCTTGTCCAGTTTTTTAGGTGGAAAACGGCTCACCTGTGGGATCACGTATAGGGGATATAGTACCCCAAAAAGGCCTGTGAAGCTTACTTGCTCTACTGCTGAGCGGCTGTGTAGGGCAATCTCGCCCCTCCCGGCATCCACCACCTCGAACGTCTCCCACGTGTGCGCGGCAAGGTGGGCATGGAAGTTACCAGGGGTAAGTGCTGGGTACTGCACAGTGTCCGTGAAGTTGTTGTGCATGCGCAGCCAGGTCTTGTGATGTGAGTAGAGGGCTACTCTTGTGCCTGGCTGCAGGTAGGGCTTGCCCACGATAAATTTGAACTGCTGATGGGTCCACCCTGCCGGGAAGTCCTTGGCCTCAATCTCGGGAGAAACATAGGTGCCGTGGTCCCCCATCGACACGAACCGTTTGAAATGCTTGTTGTACAGTCCAAACCATCCGCTCGCCGGCGAAGGGACCACGGTGAACCTCGCGCTGCTCCAATTTGCCCAGTGGCCTTACTTGTCCAGTTTCCTGGGAGAACCCAAAGGTTATTGTTTGGGATTTTAGAGATTACAGTACCCCAAAAACTTAAGGTCACTTGCTCCTCCAAGGGGCTCGCGGCAGCAGGATGACCCCAAATGTGCTGATCGGATATCATAAGGAACATCGCCGTTTGCTCGTTGTGCAGGGCGATCTCCCCATCGCCTGCGTCCACCACAGTCCAACGTGCACGATCGTTTGCTGGGCTGGCACTCGCCATGTGAGTGTTCGGGCCAATGTTCAAGTACCTTAGGGACTACACAACCTTCAAATACTACCCTGATCATACCTTATGCTACTTAGGGTTTGATCGTAGCGGAAGAATATCGAAAACGGCATTCCCATTGTAGCGACCATTTGGTTTGCAAGGCGCTGCTGCCAGAAGTTGTTCTCGATGAAGACGGTCGAGCCGGGCCTCAGGACGACAGGCGGCGGCACGTCCTTGGTGGCAAAGTCCTTGAGGGCATTGAGGGCCCTGTCTCTGCTTATTGGGGCCACAAACGGGAGGGCGTGCAGCACCACGGCAAATTGCTCAGCAATGTCCACCAGCTTCAACCTTCTCAACCAAAACAGCGGAAGTGGGGCCGTATATGCATGTATGTATGTATGTATGTATGTATGTATGTATGTATGTTTGTATGTATGTATGTATGTATGTATGTATGTAAGTGTGTATGTGTGTAAGTATGTGTATGTATGTATGTATGTATGTATGTATGTATGTGTGTATGTATGTATGTATGTATGTATGTATGTATGTATGTATGTAACGTATGTAACGTATGTATGTATGTATGTATGTATGTATGTATGTATGTATATGTGTATGTGTATGTGTATGTGTATGTGTATGTATATGTATATGTATATGCATATGCATATACATATGCATATGTGTATGTGTATGTGTATGTGTATGTGTATGTTTATGTGTATGTGTATGTGTATGTGTATGTGTATGTGTATGTGTATGTGTATGTTTATGTGTATGTGTATGTGCATGTGTATGCATATGTGTATACGTATATCTAAACGTAACTGAGTACATGTATATCTATATGTATATGTGCATGTATGTATGTATGT